TTAACCCTATCCATGTCCTATGTATCACGTGTGATTTACAGTACATGATGCTATACGTTAACCCTATCCATGTCCTGTGTATCACGTGTGATTTACAGTACATAATGCTATAAGTTAACCCTATCCATGTCCTATGTATCACGTGTGATTTACAGTACATGATGCTATACGTTAACCCTACTCCATGTCCTGTGTATCACGTGTGATTTACAGTACATAATGCTATAAGTTAACCCTATCCATGTCCTATGTATCACGTGTGACTTACAGTACATAATGCTATAAGTTAACCTTGTCCCTGTTCTATATATCATATATGATACACAGCTACATTTAATTGATATACAGCTGATGTTCGTGAACGTGGCAATAGTAACTAGTTGTTTTGGTTCAACATATGACATTAGAATAGAGTTTCAAAACACATTCAGATGATGATGGGTTAAGTTACTTTCACTCAAAAGAAAATGGAAACCTAGGATTTTTAGATACTAAAACTCTCTACTCCACTTTCATCCAAAATACATGAAATATATGTTTCACTCGTACCTACCTGGGTGAGTAGCGAAATAAGCGTATCCATAGAAACTATTAAATGACATAAAACAGGGACCAATCACCGAATATCGATTTCTAATATATAAAATAAATAAAAAATCGTGAATTTAAAAATCTGCAAATAAAGATTGTAAAAAGTACGTAAACTAGATTGAAGATATTGTAGACGTTAGTTACTCAATCTACAAACCCCTATTTTGGCTCCACGCTGTTACCTAGAATTACATCTGTTGGAGTTAAAATAATGTCTACAGTATCTCCAGTCTTGTTTCCTTACTATTTTTACGCTCCCTATTTGCAGGTTTTTAAATTCCCAATTTTTTATCAATCTTGTTTGCTGGCTTTTTTATGCTCAACTATGGACAAAGGATTACTTGATATGGTAGCTAATTTTATACATTGTAATGATGATAAACATAGCTATTGAGTAGGTGATACGGTTCATGATGATTTACTGTAGCTATTGACTATTTGATCGCATTAGTTTGAGATCTAAAATGTTAAGCTGCAGCTGGATATTGTCATGGATATTTAATTGAGAATATAGTGAGAATTTATAATTTCTTTGTAACTAAATTATCTATATATAATTCATATCAATGGGCAACTATATGCCTAGACTGAGACACAACTCCTACTATGCACGTGTAAAATTTTACGAATATAAAAGCAACCTTTAAAAAAAAAACATATACGTCTAAAACATCACTTTAAATAAGCCTTCCTATCTTTAAAGTAATTATTTTACAAATGTGTGTAATAACAATTAATAAAGTATGTATTGATTTTTTTTTACTCCCTCACTTCATACATAATATAGGTGTTGACTCCCTAAATACACCGATTGTATAGTGTACAAAGCATTGAGTATCTACATGTTACAGCCATCTAATGTTCATCTTTATTGACTGTTAATTCCTGTTTAACCCTGTACTTAAGCTTATTAAAGGAACACCAAATATTTGAAAGAGAGCTAATTTCAAGGGGTAATGATAATATCGTTTATCCTAGAATTATGATTTTTTAGCTTATGTGAAATAAGAAAAACATATCGGCCTTTAAATATCCCTACGACCTTCACAGTATCTTTTTAAGTATTATACAAAAGGTTTGGGTGCAACATACCAAGCCGTTTTTGTTGCAGACTGGCAAGATAATAATAATAAGAAGAAGAATTACAAACCGGCCGTTTTGTGGTTCATAATTAAGATGGACTTAACCAATGGTAGCCAAGAGGTGCTAAGTTAAAAACCAATCACCGAATGTCATTTTGTAATATATTAAGATGAAATCAACCAATGGTAATCAAGGAGTGCTAAGTTAAAAACCAATCACAGAATGTCATTTTTTAATATATTAAGATGAACTCAACCAATGGTAATCAAGGAGTGCTAAGTTAAAACTAATCACAGAATGCCATTTTGTAATGCAATATATTAAGGTCCCCCAGTAGCACAGTGGTATGTCCACGGACTTACAATGCTAGAAACCGTGTTTCGATACCGTAGTGGGAAGCGCACAGATAATCCATTGTATAGCTTTGTGTTTCACTACAAACAGTAATATATTAAGATGTTATTGTTTTACTTATTAGATTGCGTTCTCTTTGTGTCACGTATAAAATGAATTTGGTTTATGTTGGTATATGATTTGTTACGTTGTTAGTCTTGAGATCTTAAACGATATACGACTATTGCCATTGTTAACATACTATATTTAATTAAATTTGCCTCCAATTAATCTGCGCAAGTCAAAGAGGTTTTCTTTTACTTTTCCTAAATTAATTAATTAGTCACATCTGACTTCTGTATGTTTACTCTACTGTCCTCTGAAAATGAAAAATAACGACGCAACAAAACAGAAGTTAAACGTTAAAGTTAAAATGCATAATATTCACTAAACGTTTCCAAACTTCAAATAATTAATATATTTCTTAGAATATTTAATGTAAATATTTCCCCAAGCTTCGCTTTTCAAAATTAAGTTAGCTCTTCGTAAATTATTAATTAAAACATCTAGAAAACGATTGCTTTTCAATCATAAAGTCACAGAGTATGAACTTGATCTTAACATATTTATCAGTAGTGACATCTTGATCTTTGTGTACAAACGTTTATTTATCAGTGGTGACATTTTGATCTTTGTATACAATCATTTATTTATCAGTGGTGACATCTTGATCTTTGTGTACAAACGTTTATTTATCAGTAGTGACATCTTGATCTTTGTATACAAACGTTTATTTATCAGTAGTGACATCTTGATCTTTGTATACAAACGTTTATTTATCAGTAGTGACATCTTGATCTTTGTATACAATCATTTATTTATCAGTGGTGACATCTAGATCTTTGTATACAAATCACTACTGATAAATAAATGATTGTATACAAAGATCAAGATGTCACCACTGATAAATAAACGTTCCAGCTAAGTAAGCACAATCAAAACGGATCTTTATAAACCTTGTCACTTTTGTTGTTTATTCCTACATCCAATAATCTATCTGTGCTGTTTCCACCGCACTGATTGAACCCCAAATTTTAGAATTATAATTCCTCAGACTTGTCTCAGAGCTATCGGGATCCCCGTGTCAAATTTTCAGAGACTACTAAACAAAGAAAAGAATCATTTAAGAGGATGCAATTATTAATTTATGGATGCAAAATTAAATATTACAGATTGGTAGTGGTTTAATAAAAGGGAAAATTTGTAGCATCAACCGGACAAAACACAGTTGTAAAAATATAATACAGCGTCAACAACCAATAAGAAACAGCATAAGTGC